AATCAGAATTTTAATGAACCTAGAAAATAAGAATACTGATGCAAATGGAGTAAAAAAAGGTGATGTTGCTGCACCATATGGGGCATACCCTTATTAGCTGCGCTTCAACATTATAGATTCTTCGAAAAGTGTGTAAACCACCTTCTTAAACTTCCAGCAGCAGGAACTATATTAGCCTTGGACATGCTGACAGCTGCTAAAAAAGGTTGGAACAAACAACTCGTTCAGCTAAGGAAATTACATTAACATCAAGCATTGGATTTTTTAAAAACTCGAATATAACTCCAAAGAATGGGAAAAGAGTTACTGGAAGTGCCAAAAACTTATATTTTCTTTTAGAAATTATTAACAATGCTGCTTTATGTATTTATTAGATTAAAATGTTGAGCTGTTGATCGTTTTTTTTATATAGACAAAAAAAATCAATACTAGCGTTTTAATACCATTCAAGAAACCCTGTTATTACCACAGGGAAAGACTTAATTTCTGCACCACCTTTAACTACTTACGAGTGTTTTTCAATTGGAAATATTTTTAAAACAACTTAAAATTGAACAATTTCAAACAACTAAATGAAAGTTCAGCTAATACAAGAATCTAATGGAGGAAAAGTAATCATCGTTGCTGGTGCAGTGACCAACAATAATTTGTGGGCCGGAGGTTTAGTGGGCACTTAGAGTCAGGAAGTAACGTCTCAAAAATACAGTTGAACTTAAAGAGAAAAATTGCCTTGAAATCTTCAGTAACATCAACTTTACTGTATAGCATTCATTATATTTGAATTCATTATAACCCATTACGCATATTAACTTTGATTAAACTGGACTGCTAAGGGGCTTTTTTTAATGCTAAATAATTGGAAATTTCATAATTTTTTAATAAATAAATATTAAATACAGCCTCATGTTAATAGGAAAACTCACATGCAACTCATAATTTAATGAAAAACCTAAAGATTTAAAAATATCCAAAAAATTTATTTTTTCTTTCTCTAGAATAGAATCTTGACACACCTAATAAAATGATTCATATGAAGTAGTAGAAATTAAAAAAAACATAAAACTCTTTAGAAAGCTCCTGAAATACCGATATTTACATCTTGAAGTGTTACACTGACCACTAATTTCAGAACTCCACCTGGAACAAACCCTGCCTGGCAAATCTTGTTGTGACCACAGAGGGCTCTGGTATGAATATCCTGGACAGACTGCTGTGTGAGGATTCTGTATTTGGTCAAAAAGCAGGTTGAGAAAATGAAATTGCATCCAGTTGCTTAGAAGATGGAGAATATGGTGGACCAACCTTGGTCGCTAAATTTACGTGGAATAGAAAGACTTGGTTGGAAAACATGAAAGCTTGTATAAGGATCTAATATTAATATATCTGTCTTTTATTTTCTCTCCCAAATAGATTAGGAGAATCTATATATTTTGATGTGTTTGAATTTGAAAACCACCCGCAATTCTGCATTGGACGGCAAATCGCCCAGCCACTTTCCTGCACAGGATTGGAAAAGCCACCCAACATTCCGCAATATAGGCCTAGAAAATACATTCATCAAATTCCGTGATTGACCCTGATTTTGTGCTAGTCTACTAAATGGCAGGCACCACTCATGCTTTTGGAAATCTAGAAAGAAACCAACTGGCCAAGCTAGAAACTAGAATTCGAGATAACTCTCTGGTAACATTTTGATAACCAGGAAGTTTTTAAGATGGGAACAATTTCTTACTGCTCTTTATTGCCAATCTTTGCTGGAGACACTATGCTTAGCATCCAGTGTCCATAACTAGCGCCACATCCTAGGGTTAGGAAATTTCCATTAAGTTATTTCAGGATCTATGAGATTCGGAGCTGCAGCGTCATGAAAAAGTGTTATCCAGTCTCAAATTCCTTTATTCACTGGATTATTGCCTGACACCAGTGCACTACCCAGCAGTGGAATGAATTGATTTCCAATAGCCCATGGAATTAGGGGTATAAATTACCGACTTGCTTCTCCACTAGCTCTGTGCATCTGTGAGTTCAATTCCCCAATTGTTCACTATTTGGGTTTATAACCTGGTACTTGAGCATCTATACCTGCATGGTGAATTTGCTTTCAATTTAGCCAAGGCTATGAAATATCATTAGTTTTTGCTATCGTCTAAACAGCTTTTGGACATTTGTAAGTCTCCACCTGCGCAACAGTCCCCGGTAGTTATCACAGGATTCCTCTCAAAGTTGTTGAGAGTTTGTCAAAGATTGTTGGCACGGATATTAGCAGGCACCCCATCGAATACTCCAAAGAGCATGGTAGTCACGCAGATTCAGTTTCACATTCCCCACCAGAAAATATGGAAAATTCTTGAAAGAAGGGAATCAAGTGAAAAATACCGAGACCGTTAGTGTGAGGAAGTGAGAGGCCATTATCCCTTGACGATAGAGGATGGCAAATTTCTTGTGCAATAAGGTAGAGCATTCCATGAATATCCCTGATTGGGAAATAAAGGAATGGCTGTGCCATATCTCAAAAAAAACCAGCAAAGATCAATCAGCTCCATCCTGTAGCATAAAAGGGTTCAGTTCTTTATTATGTCGTGCAGAAGGAAGTTAGACATTGGTGATTCATCTCCTTGTTTTCAGGCTTTTCACTATGCCAATTGCATAACTAGCTCTGGAAAAAGGGGTGAATGGCCAAAGTGCACTCAGCATATATATATATGTTTCCAAAAAGAATATGTACAGATTGTAATTTAGAACAAAGCACGCGTTCGTCCATACACAAAAAACCAAGCCTAAAAAAAAAAATGAAAAACTTTGTGGATAAAACCATATGATACAGCAATAATATTAAGCCATTCCCTCAGGATTAAATAATTTTCAAATGCAATTGTCTGTAGAGCAAACAGTCACCATAAAATAAACCCATTTCTACTAATTGGAAAAAATTGCAAAAGCAACAAATAAAATAAAGATAAAACAAAAAGGCTCAGAGTGAAATGATACCCTTAAATTTTTCTTAAATGTTTAAAGTCATGCTAAAAGTACACAAGTTTTAAGTCCTAACTTAAAATACACAAATAAAGTCCCCACAAGTATACCAATGATCATATATAAGGAAAAATGATAAAAAACAAGATCCTTTTCTAAGAATAAACAAGAAACCAAGAAACACCTCCCAAGAAGATCTCAAATTTAAAAAACTGCATTTTATTAAGTCTCAAGAAAATTAATAAGATGTTGAAACAGACAGATAAAAATACAATCTTGAATATAAAGCCAGAAAGTTCATGTCATCCATTTTGCAAAAAGGAAAACTAACTTTAAGTTTCAATTGCTTAACCCACATAATAATCACCAAACAACAACAATGTCTATGACAATTTTCCATGTTTTCAAAAACAATTGACTATTGACAAACAAAAGAAAATCTAGAAATTAATATTCCTAAAATCCCAATAAATCCAAGAACAACACTGGCACAATAAAAACACTATTTAGCCCTATAAAACCCAAAACACAACGAAAGAAGCATCAAAATCCATGAAGCAGAAGAAAAAGATAAGAAATACCATCAAAAAGAAGAAGAAAGAACACCCTATAAATTAAGAACAAAAAGGCTAGATAAGGGAAAATGACCCAATAAAGACCCCATTTGTTAATCCGCATCGCAAAACGTAATATAACAAACCCATATCATTTCAAATATCTAAATCCACATAAATTTTAAACGCTTTAACTTTCAAAATCGATTCAAATCAAAAAAATCAAAAAACGTAAATTCAAAAAATAAACTAAAAAAAAAAAAAAAAAAAAAAAAAAAAAAAAAAAAAAAAAAAAAAAAAAAAAAGAAAAAGAAACAAAAAACGGAACTAAAAGGACTCTTACCAGTGAGTGATTGTACAGAGCGAGAGAGAGTGGTGTTTTGGCGCTTTGGGCTCTAAAGAAGTTTTTAAAGGGTTCGGTATGGGGCCCACTTGGCTTTTTAGGTAATTGCCACGTAATGAAGTGGGAACCTTTGAACATACAAACTCACTGCTCTTTGCTTATCTGGCTATATGCATAGTAGTAAACCCGGAAACTATATTTCATTGACGCGTGTCAAAAGAGTAGCATATTCGTAATTACATGAAACTATTGAGGGTATTTTGATTTACTAAGTCGTACATCAGAAGGAGTGTTGAGAACGCGAACAGTAACTTAAACGTGAGAATAAATTATAATTGCCCGCCTTGCAAAAATGTTTACAGCTCCAGTCGGCTGGAACTGGCTGGGATTCGGCTTGGCTTAAGTTCGCCTTGCATAAATTATAATGTCATTGGACATATTGGTATTTGGTGGTGGGCTTCACGATAGCAGAGTAGGTGTTTGATATTGGATAATGGTTAAAAAAATTTATAACAACTGAATAAAATAAAACGAAAATGCTTTTTCCTAGTTAAATCATAAAATAAATAAATATAAACTTGTCGGCCAAGTTTGGACTAACTCGTGAATTGTAATTTATGTTGCATTTATACTTCAATTTTGAGTCTAAATCACAATTTAAAACATGTTTAATATATTGCTTTTATAATTATTAATAATAATATTATTGTATCCCTTCAATTTAGTGTTTTGTGTATGTCATCCGAGCCTATGGTTTATATTATGAGGAAATTAACAATTTCTCTGTTTTTTAAAAGTAATGCGAAATTCTTTTTTCACATAAAATTAGTCTTTTTGAGATTCGTGACTGCCTCTCTATCCGGTTCCATAGTCCATAAATAACGAAAACGTTTATATTTATATATATATATATTTTTTTTTCAATAAACGAGTATAACCAGCTTTTAAATGCTTCTTAGACAGTTTATTTTAATGCTAGTTGACAAATATGCAAGTAATAATTCTTTTTAATGTTAAATCAAAGAGAAATAAAATATTAATTTCTTCCTAGTTTGGAATGTACTTATATTTGCAGGGTAAAATTGTAGGACATAGCTTTCTAGCCTGCAATGGCAACAATATCCTACAAATTACTTAGACTAATTTTTTGCATAATCCAAACACGGGAAAATTTGGATATTTTCCAACCAAGTTATCTACGGAAACAAAAGGAGCGAAAAACTGAAAATCTTTTTTAACTAATTTATCATATCTATAAAAACCGTATTCAGCATGTCCCAAAAAGAGTAATATTGTCACTACAGCTATCAGTAAATAGGTATCTCCTAGTTTGTTAGTCCCCTTTCAGATGTTGCCGTCCACAATGTACAAGTACAAAGCCAAGAGATACTACCGTTCCGACCAGATAACCAGTCATTGCACCGTAAGTCACACATATTGGCCATTCCTACAAATATAATAATAAACGTGAGGTCTCAAGAAAAGCTAAGAAAAACAAATATATCAGAAGAAATTCTATAAAATATCCTTCAATACCACATGTAGTGTCTAATTATTTCCTCAAGTTAGAACGAGTCAAGTTACTCTCCAACATACCATGAATTATTGCTGCAACTAATGAACGGCTTTAGCTTACCTGAACACCTGCATTTCCCACTTTAACCAGCCACACTCTCTAAACATGGATCTTAATCACTCTCCTATAACTCAATATTCTCTGCATAACTGAACTAATGTACAATCAGCTTATCAAGCTAACTTATATCATAAAATGCCGAGTTCCGCACCAAGCATAGGACTAACAAAGCATTATCTCCATTATGATCATGCAGAAGCTTCGGAAGATGCTGTAGGATGTAGTTTCAATGTAATCAATTGGGTAAAGTGGTTTGATCCATCTGGATGGGTAAAATGGTAAAGGCTTGGCATCTTAGTTCTACTCAATTATATGAATTATATGGGTCAAGGCTTTTCTCAACTGGGTCCACAATACGTACATTATCTATTTAAGGCAATGTAACATTTTCAGGCAGCACAATTTGTTCTTGAAAGATCCCAAGAACTAGTGGATCATGCTCTTTTTTCTGGCTTTCAAGAGTAATCAGAGGCAATAACTTCATTAGGAATGTGATTAAAAACCAGTGTAATGCATGCCTCAAACAAAATATTGACCTTGTTGGTTGGTACAACAACCAGAATCGATATTTTTTGTGTTAACCATGTCAATAATTATGTCAAAACCGCAAAATGTTGAACTCTGAGCAAGCTCTAGGCACAATGAACTGATGTCTAGATGTGCAGGAACATTGAGACCAATAAAAGATGCAACTCCTTTTCAAAAGACCTCATGCTTCTTAAATCTCAAATCTGAAGCACTTTAACACATACAATGCAGAATATATTGAGGTCATTGATTATAATTCTTCTTCAGTGTCCATGTAGGTTCAGGGTAGCAAATCAGGTTCTTGGTGGTCATATCAAATTATTGATATTTGGGAAAAGTTCAGGTTTTGCCTAAAATTTCTAATTTAACTCAAAAGAGAATAATTAATCAATCTCTAGAGCAGGACATTTTGCTAATTTTCAGGCCATAAGGGTTTCTATCGACTTGAATTTAGCTTTCCATCAATAGTTTTGTCATGTTAGAATAAAATAATTTATAAAGCAGAGAATGTGAGCAGATTAGGAAATGATAACATGCCTATAATAGGTTAGAAACTGAAGGGGAAAAAAAAAAGGATGGTACCTGCCATGGCCTTTCCCAGTCAAGTGGCATAGGCCAAGCCCCAAACCAGGCTCCAATTATAGCACCATGTGCTGGCATGCAAATCATATACTCCAGCGATTCAACGGGCCTACAGCAAACACATTTTAGTTCCACACCAGGTCCACAAAAATTGAAGGGGAAATTCAACTAGCAGCTTGTTCAATACAATTCTAAACATGCTGCCTTATGTTCATAAAATTCTCATTTAGTTGTTTTATCATTCAACTTTGGCAAGATGTGAATTATTTAACAAGTGTCTAGCACATCCATTAATTTCCAAACAGAAAGTGAGGGACAAAGATGTGATGTTATCTGACTTGCGAAAAACACCACGGATCAAATGCACTAACACACATCATAGCAACCAAATTCTTTCTAAAAGCTAAATGGCTAAAGGATATAAACCACCAACTAAAACTGGAAAAAGTTTATTTTGAATAAAGGACGGATATTGCACAAGGGTATATGTCCAATAGTTAAAAAAAAAAAAAAAGTATTTCTTCAAGTGTCATGGATTCTCCACTGACTTGAAATCTCAAAGTGTTACATCCAGGTTCAGTGAATATTCAAAGTAACTATGATGTTGGAAAACTTACTTTGTATGTGCAAATACACGTTGCCAATGAGACCATGATGAGCCAAATACAGAAGCTGCAGGCACAAACTGTCACAAGACAAGATCGTTTAGTAACACCACAAAGGCACTATGTAGCACTACTGACATGGGAAATCAACATGCCGACAACAGTTACTTGTATTACCATGCTCGTCAACATATTGGAAATCAAATAAAGAAAGGCAAATATCAGATTGCTTATTGAGCCTTGTAACTACTACTTAGGACTCATTCACCAAATAGGTGAACTTTGGAATGATTTGTGAAAAACAGATTGCTTTCTTCTAGGTGATTAACATAAACATTTAATACGACTACATGAAATAGAATACAAAAGATGGATTCGTTAAGGAGGAAACTTTCAAATTAAACCCATCTAACAGTTAAGAACCTGTGTTAGCACAGCACCAGCAAATACTTACTGTGAATGATGACATAAGAAGAGACCAATTAATGGTTTTTGGAAAGTACCTGTCTCCAACATTAAAAGAGCTAAATCAATACACTTTTTTTTATTTCTAATTCAAAAAGAAATGATGACAAGGGATCAAGTCCATCTCCCATCAGAATTATGAAAAAGACAATATATCAATCATTTACAAATATTTCTATCTCCATAATTCTGAAACCATAAATCATAGTTGAGGTTGAAGAGCCACCACCATCATCGAAGTTCAATACCAGCTGAGTTTTCAACCAAAAAAATTTACTTTCACAATCAAAAATCAGAAGAAAAAGAAGGCCACAATGAAATTTTGAAACAACAGAAGACTTAAGTACCTGATAGTGATGGCAACCTTGTATTGACTATAGAATATTAAACTCTTCCCTTCCAACCTCAAACCTGATTTCTGTTTTCAGAATTACTTTGGAAGTTACGAATCCACTACACCACATACTGGATGCCAACAGGTGCACCTAAAACAATAGCTCCAGTCGCATTCAATAGAGCACCTACAGAGGGGACAAAAGAATATGGTAAGTTGACATAACATATGGAGATGAAACTGCAAGTCAGAGACTCATACTGGTAGGGGGACAGAGAAGAATGCCCTAACAAGAGAAAGACCTACCAGTTAGCTTATCAATAAGACGATAGCCCATTGTTCTGATTCTAATTGCTCTCATCTAAGACAGCAAACGAGAAGCTTATCCAGAGTCAGATACTAATACATAAATGAGTGATCTGGTCCTATGTCTAGGAGGGTGGTCAGAGTCCAATGAGGACTAATAATACTAGTAGCACAACCAGTATCAGTAATAAATATGGCAAGGCCTAAATCTATGGGACAATTATATGAAACCACAGTTAGTTTAACTCGGTCATCTGTAATTTCTCAATGAAAAATAAAAATTAAAAAAATTTTAAAAATCTAAAAAAAGAATTAGCTGTTACTTCCATGCTCCAATGACGCTTGCAAAACTTATATCTCCACAATGAAGATTTATTCTTTTCCAATTAAAAATTCCATCTGAAAATACATTTTACAGAGCAAAGAGAAATTACAGAAACCACACATCTGTGTCAAGCTATCAGGGAATAGTTCAATAGATATTATCTCTTCTATTGAATCAGACACACACACACACACATATATATCTTTATATATTTTTAAAATGTAAGTAATGTCACTTTGAAAAAAAAAAAAACCATTTAAGATGATATGGAACCCCCATGGAAAATGCTACTGAGGAACACTGCCTAACAGCCTTTGATTAAGGTCTAAGCTGATCAAATTCTAAAACCGGAAGCCAAAGGTTTCTTTTAGAAGGCATGTTCCTTCAAACTGTATATGCACAATACCACCAAATAAAACATCTCATATATCTCTCCAATCCAACAAAAAGATCACCTAATCTTGTTCATTTTGCTGATTTTCAAAACTCAACATAAGTCTTATTTGATCCATGCTTCCTTTTCAGGGGGTAATCAAATTATGCAGAATCAAAAATTACGCATGCCAAATAATACTACTTTATCAGTTAAACTATACATTTATTAATAGGAATCATATAGATGACATCCTGAAATTATTGAATCATACTATATATATATATAGTACTGTTTAGTCATGTAGTTCAATAATAAATATGTAGCGAAGAAAAAAAAAAAAAAAGGCATGCCAAATTAATACTACTTTATTCAGTTAAACTTATACATTTTTAATAGGGATTCTAATAGATACCATCCTGAAATTATTCGAATACATTAGCTAATATATATATATAGTTACTTGTTTAGTCATGTAGATTTCAATTAATTATAATATGTAGCGAAGAAAAAAAAAAAAAAAAAGGCACAGTTCGAGACCTAACCAACAAGGAGAGCCAAAAAAAAAAAAAAAAAAGGCAAGTTCGAGACTAACCAACAAGGAGAGCCAACATGCCTCGTCCAACAGCTTTCAAGTACTGTAAAACATAAACATAACATAACATAATTTAAGCAATGAAAGAAACACTTGAGAATTCAGACTAAAAGATAATTGATGGATAACTAAGAAATTTTCTCGCCCGTTTAATATTTTAAACTGCTTCACATTTTCTTTTCCTTTTTCCCACATTTTCCAGACAACCAAACAAGAGAGCTAAAAGAAAAAGATAACCACTAAATAGGAAGTACCGAGCATTGTTCAGGATCCATCCGAAACCAACTGTAAAGAAGTATTACGATTGAGCTCTCCACCATCTAAAAAAGAAAGAGAAAGAACAGATTTATATACAAAACCAAACAAAAATTCAAAATCGAAAGCATAGAGAAAGAAGGAGGTACCCAAATCAAGCGGAGAGTTCGTGAAGGATCTGAGACGAGATTGATGGAGTAGAGATCGTGAGCCACCCATAAGGCTATTGCTAAACCAAGTCCACAAATTATATGGACAAAAAATGCTTGAAGAAATGATACTGATCGAGAGGAATTCTCTGCTGTGGAAGTTTTTGTAGTATTGCTCTTCTTCTCCTCCTCCTCCATGTTCGTGCGTCGTTTCAATTTCTTCTCTTCTCCATTGTTACAGCTGACTTGAACAGACTCTTGATATGGGCCAATTTGAGCCTGTTTGGGCATTACTATATTGGAGCAAAACTTATAAACTTATTAGTGGGCTGGGCTTGGATATTTTATATATGGGTAATTCTAGTAGATGTCATGTGTTTAGAGAATGTCGGTTTGATTTTTCAATTTAAATTATTGTCGGCTTAAGTTTATTTTTTACTTTTATACCCTTTTTTATTTTGTTAAGTGTTAGTTTGTTAGTAAATCAGTATTTTAATTGCTTTGTGTTTCCTTTTTATTAAGTGTTTCCTTTTTATTAATTTCCTATTTTAATTATCGGTGTTTTAATTATTTAGTGTTTCTTTTTTTTTTATTAATTTTCTATTTTAATTATCATGTTTTAGTTTCTATTCTTTTTCTGCTCTCGTCTTTTTGCAGCCTCCATTATTTTGAGCATCATTCTTTCTCATTTTGTTGCCGTCTATTATTTTCTTATCGTTATTTCTCGTTTTACTCTCATTATTTTCAGCCGCCAATTGTTCTTTTCATAATTGGTGTTGTTTCACAGTTTCTTCTTATTTTTTAGATTCTATTTTTTTTTGCAATTTCATTTTTGTATGAGCGTACTAGAGACTTAATTTTTGCCGGAAAACTGTCACCACCATGGATGCTGTTTACGCTCTGTAGAGACAAGGTAGAACTCTTGATTCTGTTTGAATTGATATTGATACAATGTTTTTGAAAATTGAATATTGATACAATATATATATATATATATATATATATTATATATATTAATTATAGTATATATATATATATATATATATATATTAATTAATACAGAATATACACCGTATATATCATATTTACCGTCATTGTGGTCATCGCGCCGAGCTCGTCATCCTCTTTGTTGAATTATATTAATACAGAATATACACCGTATATATCATATTTACCGTCATTGTGGTCATCGTCGCCAGTCGTCATCCTCTTTGTTGAATCATATAAATTGTATAGGGATTTGCTCTTACATATTTCTTATTTCTTTTTTTTCTTTTTTTTTTTTTTCGGCGTTTCCTTTTTGACCAAATCTATTAGTTTAATATTGTTTGAGGTTACTTTAAGTATTTTTATTTTATTTTTGACCAAATGTTTTAGTTTCTTAATATTTGACATCTCTCGACATTTACTAAAAACTGAAACTTTAAATATGACATGTGGCTCACTGAACATTTTATATAAAGTAACAATTCGACCAATAGTACAAAATTTGTAAATTGAAGCTTTTTATTCACAATTACATAACCAGATGAAATATTTTAAATTGACTAGTTTGAATAATATATAACAATTGATACTTATTCATTAAAAATTCTGAGTTCAAATTTTAAATACAGTGAAAAAGTTTGAGAAAATAAATATCATTATGTAACTCATTTGCGCTTTATTTATTTATTTTTTTAGGAACTAATTTACGTTTATTTGGAACAATAGCTGCAATTGTACTCAAATGTGATTGTAATAAAATTATGAGGATTGAATTGTATTTTGCCTTTGATTCTGAAAATACAGTATAATCTAATCAGCAGAAATTAAGGAATTGAATATCAATTATAGATATTTTTTCCTTCTTTCTCTTAAATTGCTCTCTCCCTCCTGTCTTCATCTTCATCTCAGTTTCTATCTTTTCTCGGCTTTTCTTTTTATTTCTCAGTATCCAAACATAACCTTTTCTCTTTTGTTTCACTAGATTAGATTAGATACTGCATGTCACAGGTATCAAGACGTTTCGACTTTACATAAATTGTGTTCAGAATCACACGTTGTTAAAATACCAAATACTGCATAAAGGACATATAAAGTGTAAAACTACCCGGCAAATTAGTAATTAATATTCCTTCTAGTCCAAAATATAAGTTGTTTAAAATTTTTACACGGAATTAAATAAATAATTAATTCTCTTAAATTATAATAAAATCAAGAGTAATTTGATCAAATTATCACTTATCTCAAAACTAAGATTACTTGTAAAGTAGTTATTATATCTAATATAAATAAAGATAATATTAGAAAAATATTATTTATTACTCCTTAAGATACTTAAAACTATTTATAATATGAGACAAAATAATCAATTATAAATAACTTATATTTTGTAACGAAGAGAGTATTTAATATTAATATTTTAGTATTAGAACAGTCTCTCAGCTCACTATCGATCATTATTTAAGGGTCCATATTTTGTCACCTCAGTTGACAATTTTTGGTAGCACGTGGGCAGTCCATTGAGCCAGTCCCCACTTTCCTATTATAATTCATTAATATGGGATTAACTTACCTAAATCCTCCAATATATATAGACTTATGCATAAATTAAATTAATAAAAAAATATTTTTTTTTAGTAAAAGAGAGTATTATTATGACCATTTATCCAAAAAAAAAAAAAACTTAGCAGAAAACGACAGCACTAATGGGCACCATGTCTCATTATGTAATTTATTAAACATAATGATAGATAGTAGTGGTTATGGGCATATGGTGCACTCAATTTGGTTTATTTAGTTTATCTTTTAGATTCTGGAAGTGTGGTCCTAAATCTCAATTTATGATTCTAGATCAATGCAACATTAATTAATTAATTAATTAAATTGAGAGAGTAGTACTCTAGGAAATCATAATTTTCTCTATCGTTTATTTAAAAAATTATATGTTTCAGATAATAGTGGTAATACTTATTAATTAATTTATATAAAACTATTTTAGGATTTAAAAAAAATATTTCAGGATAATTTCTCTACTTCAACTTCAAAAAAAAAAAAACAACATCGTACAGTTAATTTAGCAAACAACATCATTAATGTAACCAAAAACCAAACTAACTACTAACTAGTTGGAGAAGAAAACAAGGAAAATCAATATTAAAATTAATGTAATATAACTTAGTTAAATACATTTTTAGCTTACTACATATATTTAATAATATTATAAAATATTTTATTATTACTACATTTATTTTGTCCTAAAGTACATTTGATACTAGCTTAAGATGATAAAGCCAAGAAATAACTAGCAGGAGGCGATCGTTCCTGTTCCAGAACTGTTTGTTGGTGATGAAGAAGAGTTACTCCAGTAGCGGTGAAGCTAGCTTTGGCGGTGTTGTTGTTCTTCCATAATTACTATCAGCTGTCATTACCATATATATGTACTTATTATTGCATGGGATACTGTCTCCTTCACTGCATGCAGGAGAAGCAATAATCTCGAGCTGGACGTTCGGCGACGCGGGTTTTGGTGGTGGTGGCGGTGAAGGCAAGGGTTTCTGGTAAATTGTTGTTAGCTCTTGGGATCTTGGTGATGGTACCGGTGATGGTGGTGGCGGACTTTGATTCCTTCCGTAATTAGCTAATATTGTAGCTTTGAGAAGAGACAAATCTGCATTACATAGGGAAAGAGATATAATATGATTAATAATACAATTAATATCATATTATTACTTAATTAGTAATGTATGATTTATCTAAGGAAAGAGATAATTGTAATTACCTGGTAAAGGTCTTGCTTGAGCACAAGTGCTTAGAAGTGCAAAATGAATAGCAAAAGCAGATGCAACAAGGAAGAGAGAACTCATTATCTTTGGATATTAGATTAATAACGTTCCTTGGCGTTTATGATGTCAAAGCATTTGGTGGTTATGCTATAAATAGGCATATACAATATGTGGAAGTTACTATGGACCTAAACAGCCGAGCTTGAACTTCCTAGAAACTCAACTTTATAAAATTTAGTTTGTTCGAGCTCGTTTGAAACTCGACGAATCTAAAAATTGAGCTCAATTTCAGTTGGATTCAGATAATTTTGAGTTAGAGGTCAGCTATAAACTTAATATACAAATAAGTTTAAAATAAATATTATATATATGTATATATAGAAGTTCGATATGACTCGATAAGTTTTCCAGCTGAATATCATTAGGTTTGAATTTGAACAACTCACGAGCCGACTCGGTTCATTTATGCCCTGGCTAGGTAAATGTCAATCGATATAATGGTCCAACAAAATAAAATAAATAAATACAATTTAAAGATTAAAAATTTTAATATATAGTAATGATTTTTAAGATAAAATATTAAAAATTAATTAATTTAGTTTTTAATTCGATTTTCAATGGTAGATACTCCTTTCAATTCATTTGGCCTTTGACTAAAGTTTTAAAATCCTTTAAAAAACCACTAGTATCATTAAATAAAAACTTAATCTAAAAGGCTAAACCTTTGATCATCATTTTCTTAGCTTTTGGTAAATTTCCAGTTACTATTGCTTTTGAAGCCATCGGTGCCCAAGTTGTTTTAATCTACCGCGTTTTGGACTTACTTTCGCCGCCGTTTACACAAATTGGCAATTACAGACTCAATTAAAATAAATTGAAGCAATCGATTTTCTAAAATTTAGTTCCATTTTAGTTTTAGTTTTAATAGAAAATTTTATTCTTTTTAATTCAATTCCGTTTAGTACGTACAATTAAAATTTCAAAAATCAAACTCATGTAACCTAAAAATTAAATTAAATACTAAAAATTAAATCAAATCAACTAATTTGATTCAATTATTTAGAAAATTCAAGTTTTCTTATAAAAAAATTAATTTATTTAGTTTATATTTATTTGATTTGGTCCAATTTGAAGACACGTGATACAATGTACATAATTATTTTCAAATCTTTAGTGGGTTAAACAATTAATTACCTGCTTATGATTAACATCTCCACTAAGAAAACACTATATTTTTTTATTTTTAATTTTCAAATCTTTAGTGGGTTTTTATTTCTAATTCTCCTACTCTATATATTTTTAATTGCAATAACTAATATTTAATGGAAAGCAAACACTTCTGCCTACCTTTTTTTTTTTTTTTTTTTATCAACAAATTTTAATTGCAATAAACTAATATTTAATGGAAAGCAAACAATTCTGTTTTTTTTTTTTTTTTTTCTGTCAACAAAGCCATTCCCCAGATTTTGAATGTGTTAAATGTGTGTACTGTTTCTAAAAAAAAAATGTGTTTCCATATTGTGAAATTTTTACCATGAATCATGTGATTGTCCTTATCATCTTATAATTAAATTTTTACAATGAATCATGTACTTGTGTTATCTTATTTTAACTATACTTATTGAAGCAAATTATATCATCAATCACTTAATTTTATATTTAATTTCATTAAGGTTATATAATTTCAATTTGCCATTTTTGATCACTCAATTTTAATTTTTATTTTAACTGAAGGTGACGGACTAAAATTTAGTAATTGAAATGGTAATATAATACTAAAAATTACATATTTTACAGAAGATAAATCAAGATTATAAAGAAATATAAGAAAGAGAAGAAAAAATTGCTACAAAATATAAACAATAGAATGAAATTCTTTTTGCCTTATTTTTTAAAAAATTATTTCATGTAAATGGCATTATTTGTTAAATAAATTAATAGATAAACTTCAAATTAATATATTATACGAAAATATGTTATTTTTAAAATGAAATATTTTATTCTGCATAAAGGACATATAAGGTGTAAAACTACCCGGCAAATTAGTAATTAATATTCCTTCTAGTCTAAAATATAAGTCGTTTAAAATTTTTACACGGAATTAAATAAATAATTAATTCTCTTAAATTTAAAATATAAGTCGTTTAAAATTTTTACACGGAATTAAATAAATAATTAATTCTCTTAAATTATAATAAAATCAAGAGTAATTTGACCAAATTATCACTTATCTCAAAACTAAAATTACTTGTGAAGTAGTTATTATATCTAAATGTAAAATGAAATATTTTAATTTTAGTACCATGTTAGTATTTTTCAATAAAACTTCCTTTGATATGAAAATCAAAATTTAGTAACTAAAAAATGACAAATTGAAATAATATAATTTTATAAAAATAAGTGCAAAGTTATGTGACCATTAATATAATTTAGCCAAGCTCAGTGCTTCGAAAATTAAACAATAATAATTAATTTCTTTTTTAACTAATAAAATATAGGACAATTTATCATTATTAATTAATTTCACCATCCTAACTTTTCCTCTTCTAAAAACAAAGACCACATTGTGTATATATACATAAAATTAAAATTATAAATTATAAATAAATAAAGTAAATAATAACTAAGTACAATGAGTAAATATATAGATAAAAAAAATCATTATGATGATAAAAGACTAATATTTACATTTAATTAAGAATTATATAGATAAAAATAGCAAAAATTATATAAGACTTTAAATTACAAGTGTATGTAATGAATATAAACAACGTGCAATACTACTGTCAAATTAAATATTTAGCCAAATATAAATCAATCATAAATATTGAGGTTACCTTAATTAACACTAATATAGAGATTTGGCATGACAAATTTGATTATGATATTAAATTGAAAGATTCATAACTATCCATATAAATTTTTTCGAAGTTTCTCTATAAATTAGGCAGAAATGTAGTTTTTCATATAGAAAATATAAAAATATTCAAGTTACTTAATTTGGTTCTAATAATTTTTTTTATGCACATAATAAAAAATATCCATATTAGTTATTTAGATGCCTATAAATTTAAATTTCATAAAAGATAGATAAAGTTAAATATTATTATAAAAATAATAATTACTTAATTTATTTTTAAATTTATTTTAAGCTAAATTAAAGTATAGGACACTTATCATTACTACTTATTTCACCATCCCAAACTTTTCAAATGTCGTTCTAAAAAAAGACCAAAATTTATATAAAGATAAATAAATAAAGTAAATAATGACTAAGTACAATGAGTAAATATATAGAAAAAAATATTTTTATTATAATGATAAAAGACTAATATTTACATTCAAATTTTTATATAGATAAAAAATAGTAAAAATTATATAAAAAAATTAAATTATGAGTACATATAACGAGTATAAACAATGTGCAATGCAAGTTTTTGAATACTACTGATATTAAATTGAAATATTTAGCCAAATATAAAATAGTGCATAAATGTTGAAGTTACCTTAATTAATACTTATATAGAGATATGGTATGACAAACTTGATTTATGATATTAAATTGGAAGATTCATAATTATCCATGTCATTTTTTCTAAGGTTCTCTTTAAATTAGGTAGAAATTTAATTTTCCACATAGGAAATATAAAGATATTGAAGTTACTTAATTTGGTCATAATAGTTATTTATGCACATAATAAAAAATTTCCATATTAGTCATTTAGATGCCTATAAATTAGAAGTTCACAGGCAGGCAATGTATACCTTTTAGATATCATTAGACAACTGAAAATTAGAAGCAAATACTATGAAGTCAACAAACCTTCTCTTTGTTTTTTGTGTGATGCTATTGGCTTCATCAATATGTATTCAAGGTAAGTTTGCATACCAAAAAATATATCCAAAAAATATATATAATATATAATATATATATTTTCTGATAAGTTATAAAATATTAATAATAAAAGAGATTAATTTTATTATGGGTTTTTCATTTGATGTGCAGTGGGGATATATTTTCTGATAGTTATAAATATTAATAATAAAAGAGATTATTTTATTATTGTTTTCATTTGATGTGCAGGGGATGTGACTTGGTGCCCCAAGCAAGATATATTTCCAGGAGGGCCTTGTGGAGCAAATGGAAGCTCCCAATGTTTGACTGACTTCTTGGGAAAATATGGAGCAAGTAGCATGCCAAAGAATTGCCAATGCCAGACTTCAGGATCTGATAAAAGACTTTGCAATTGTGAAATTGTTTGTGGAAAATAATTATATTATCTGCATCAGCCAAAGCACTAGATTTCATAGATGTTTAGTTTTAAAAGCTTTGGAAGTTATTGTAATAATAATGACATTAATAATGGTCACAGCTGAGAAGATTGTTGTCAATTCTTAATAAATCAGTTATCTATCTATGAACAATTGTTGTTATTTATTTATTTTTATTTCTTTTCTTTTCTTTTCATTTATGCTTGCTATTTTTTTTTCATTGTTGAATTTTTCAAAACGTTAATGCTCCGTAAATTTTCAAAAAATAACTTAATTATCTTTAAAAATATTTTTCAAATAACTCATTTTTCATTATTTGGTTGCAATGAAACTTGAGAAATATTTTTATGAAAATATAATTAATAAATTTTAAATGTATTTTACTCATTATTCTAAAGAATTTACTGTTAAGAAAAGAGAGAAACTTTTAGCACCAATGATTATTAATTTATCACAATTATTATTGAAAGATATTCATAGTTGTTTATATTTAATTGTTCCTTCCTTTTACATTATATTAATTTTAGAGTTTAAATTTTAAAATAAAAAATTAACATTGCTAGATAGTTAATGTTGAACTATATATATTTTTAAATAAATACAAAAGTAATTAGTTAATAATGTGAATTTATAAATATTTTTTCTTGCACAATATCATCATTTATATCAAGGAAGCAATACGGGCACTTCAGTGGAAATACCAAATCATCAAAGTTTTGTCTTATAAAAAACTTTAAACAGCAAGACAATTAGAACATTGGACAAGACAAAAGTTATATAAGTTAGCACAATGAGCCTACGTTATGGACTCAAGTCCGTACAGATTTGTTCCTGAGTTAAAACCAATTCGTAGCCCAAAAACTCTCTTATTAATTTAAAGTTAGCCATTTTTTATGTATATCACTTTTAACTTGTACTTAGCCGATGAGGGATTCGCCTAGGGTGTCACAAAATTATATATAAATACATAAAATTAAAATTATAAATAAACAAAGTAAATAATGAACAAGTACAATGACTAAATATATAAAAAAGATATTTTAATATGATGATAAAAGACTAGTATTTACATTCAAATAAGAATTACACAGACAAAAAACAACAAAAATAATATAAAAAAGTTAAATTATATATAATAATAATAATAATAATGTGTAATGCATATTTTTTATTACTTCTAATATTAAATTGGAATATATAGCCAAATATAAACCAATTCATAAATGTTGAGGTTACCTTAATTAATCCTTATATATGGATTTGGTATGACAAACTTGATTATGATATTAAATTGGAAGATTCATAATTATCCATGTCATTTTTTCTAAGGTTCTCTTTAAATTAGGCAGAAATTTCCATATAGGAAATATAAAAATCTCCAAGTTACTTAATTTGGTTCTAACAGTTGTTTATGCACATAATAAAAAATATCCATATTAGTCATTTAGGTGCCTATAAATTTGGAGTTCATACTCAAGCAATGTATACATTTTATCATTGAAACAACTCAAAATTAGAAGCAAACATTATGAAGTCAACAACCATTCTCTTTGCTTTTTGTGTGATGCTATTAACTTCATCAATATGTATTCAAGGTAAGTTTGTCATATTTGTCGTTACCACGAAGCATATAGGAAAAAAAAAAATTCTAGCCAATTAGATGTGGTGTGGTCTGATTGGTCTTTTCACTCATATGAAAAGTAAGAGATCTCGAATTTGAGTTCTCTCGAACAGTTTAGAGGAAAGCTATCCATAATTGTCTAGTCCGCGGTATTATTTCGGTCGATCGGGCCTCGTAATAAATAAAAAAAAATTTATAAATAATAATAATAAAAGAGATAATTTTATGTTTGTTTTTGTTTGACATGCAGGGGATACGACTTGGTGCCCCAAGCAAGATATATTTGTAGGAGGGCCTTGTGGAGCAAATGGAAACTCTCAATGTTTGGTTGACTTTTTGGGGAAATATGGAGCAAGTAGCATGCCAAAGAATTGCCAATGCCAGACTTCAGGATCTGATAAAAGACTTTGCAATTGTGAAATTGTTTGTGGAAAATAATTATATTATCTGCATCAGCCAAAGCACTAAATTTCATAGATGTTTAGTTATAAAAGCTTTGGAAGTTATTGTAATAATAATGATATTAATAATGGTAACGACCCAGAAGATTGTGATCCATTCTTAATAAATTAGTTATCTTTTTATGAACAATTGTTGTTTGACTTTCAGTTATTTATTATTATTTTTTATTTATGCTTGCTATTTCTTTTTATTTTTTTATTGTTGAATTTTTCAAAAAGTCAAGTTTCCGTGAATTTCTGAAAAATAATTTATCTTTGAAAAATATTTTTCAAAAAATATATATTCTTTAAAAATATTTTCCAAATAATTCATTTACTGTTATTTGATTGTAATATTAAAAATTAATTAAAAAATATTAATTTTTTTCATAAAAAATATTTATAATTATTTAGAAATTTTATTAAATAATATATTAATTTTTTTTCATAAAAAATATTTATATTATTAGAATTTATTGTTAAAATGAAAGAAAAATCATAAAAAGATGATAAAATTTGTGATCATAAAAGATGATAAATTTGTGATAATCCCCGTGTCCAAATGGTGGTCGGTGGGCCGTGATGGTGATCAGTGACATGTGACGATGAGTAACAGTAATTAATAAATTAATAATATGTATTTATAAAATTATAACAATAAGTTTATCGATGTTTGTAAAATGTTTTCCTTTTTTTAAAATTGAAAGTCATTTTCCTTAAAAATGACTTAATTTTTCTTTAATAAAAAAATATTTTTTATTGATTGATTTTTTTGAGCACCTTAAATATTGGAAAATCTGAAAAATATTTTACAGGAAAATTATATTTCGAAAAACAAATCAGAGGTTAAAGCAACAAATACATCGAGTTAAAAAACATATTTATGCATTTTGCAGTTAATAACGAGGGCTTATGTTGTTAAGATGTTAGAAAAGCTTTGTTAGTGGCTACAAATCTGACAGTGCTTGGCATCAAATTGTTGATTATTAGAGCATTATAATTTCTGATTGCGAAAACCCATTAAGGAGAAAACATAATTTTTTTTATTTTCTAATTTTTTACAAATTATTTTAATATTTTGTGGATTATTTTTTTTTTTTTTTGAAAGTAGATTATTTGGTTATGATTTTTTTTGAAAGTAGATTATTTGGTTATGATAGACATTAATGGAAAATATCAATGCACTTATCCTTTAATAAAATTTCTTAGTTTGTATTCTCTTCTTTAACCATAGTACTACCGTAAATTTAACAATACCCTTTTTTTGAAAATGCAATTATACCCTTTTGTTATCTTTCTTTTCTTTCCACTATTATATTTAAAATATCTAAATATAACCATATCTAATTTTTTATTATTAAATATAAAAGTAATTATGTAATTTTGTGAATTTAAAATATTTTTTCCAACAAAACTATAAAAATTAAAGATTTAAAAATAAGTAATTATATAATATCAATTTAATCACCCAAAATAAAGTATCTTAAATTTTAATAAACAATTATAAAATTTTATTTATCTTATTATTGAAACTCTTACCTTGTATTTATGCATTTGAAAGTTGAAACTATACAGTACATACAAAACAGTTATCATTACATATTGCTTAACTCATTTCATGTAGTTTCTATTAGTGCAAATGACTATTGTCCATTTGAATGATCAAAATGCCATTATTTCATTTTTTCATGAATACATAGTAATAAAACACTAAATGATATTAGAATTGATTCTTTCATGAATAAAACTTTTTTTTTTTGTTTTTTTTTTTTTTTTTTTTTTTTTTTTTTTTTTTTTTTTTTTTTTTTTTTTTTTTTTTTTTTTTTTGCGCTACTAGCTAGAACATATTTTTGTTATATTAGGAACATACAATAGGTCAATATAATTCTAATTTCTCACATAAACCTCATATTTTTATTTCGTTATTTTCATACCTTCTCAATTGGTTACACAATATAAATTTTTGTCCTTTGGCATGTTTTTTTATGATAAATACTTAGCATGTAATGAGTATGATAAGTAAAAAATGCATTTGAAAAAAAATATATAATATTTGTGACTGCAAGTTGCATTGAAATGTATTTCTCTAGCTAATTGATATTAAAAACAGAATGTAGTTCACCTATTCTTCAGAAAAAAAAAAATTTATTTGAGATATTGAAGTAAATTAAAAATTTATTTGATACACATTGTTTTAATAACTACGATAATGGTTTATCATTCAATTTAAAAATGATAATTTGTTTTCTTAAATCACTTGGTAAATATATTATACGTTCAGATTCTTTCCCCAGCCTTCCTCAACCAATTGAACCAATATTTTTTTCAAAATAGAAATTTAGCAGAGAATTTCCTCAATTAGGGGCAACAAGATAAAATAACGCATTATTGAAGGTCTTTTTCCAAACAATATAAAAGTTTAAGCTCCCTTTAGATGTGACAAGTATGTAAAATATTATGGAGAGCAATTCTCAATTTTTAATTTTTTTAATTAAACTCAATTAATAGCTATTTTAGTTTTAAAATCACCAAATATATATGTTTCTATGCAATATTGGTTTTATGGACAAAAAATCATTGAGGATGTGCAAATAATCATTCAACTATTTCTTATTGTTTCCATTTTTATAACTAGCTGATATGCTTATCAGGATTCAAATCGTAGCATAATCATGAACAAAACGCAAAGTGAAACGAGTTCGTTTTGTTCATAAATGAAATGGATCGTTTTAAGTTATTTGTCATATGCCATTGTTTCTCTTCTTCCACAAGAATGCGCCAAATTCAAAATTGAAGAAAAGAAATGTTAACTGGAGCTATTTTTGAGTTTTTGAGTTTGTTCATTTAACAGTTATCATCGTTTGGC